AATTTTGTGTATGAAATATCCACAGCATGCTCAATATCGTCCTCGTTAATTATCTCGGCTGCTGACGTTTTAAATGACCGATTTTCGTACTTGGTTTCATTATTTGGTACAGTATAAGTCGCCTCCAGTTTTAGTTGAATTTTATCGAGCCCATTTCTTTAAGACAGTCGCGTAATATTTCAACTAAATCGCCTCTTGTTGCTGACAAAAACGATTGATACCCAGCTACATTTTCAATATTCTTTTTATAAAACCATAAAATTTGACTATTTAATGATTCACCCGTTTTATGAAAACCGCTCGTCGTAATGTCCTGTAATCGTTTCACCTTTACCCGTTTACATTTAATCGTATTGTCGCTGTTACATTGTTTGCGACGTTTAAGACTAATTGCACTGGGGCCTGCANATTTAATCGTATTGTCGCTGTTACATTGTTTGCGACGTTTAGGACTAATTGCACTGGGGTCTGCATGCATTCTCTCCGCAACATTTACATTTTCTAAAATCAATATATTTATTTTATCATATAAATTTTTAATAATATATATATTTTCTTTACTTACCACTCGTTAACATAGCCCTCGAATCAGCATGATTTCCAATAGCAATATTATAGTCCACACCATACTTTACGAGATCTAAAACATTACACTTATATTAACACTCTACTAATATATTTTTTCTTTTCATATTACTATTTTACTGAATAATAATTGTAATACTTACGGTGTATCTTTTGAACATGGCGTACAAGTCCACATTTGTCTGAAAAACTAGATGGACATAAATAACACTTAAATCGTATACCATCATGGATTTTTCTATGTCTCATCAAACAGTTTTTGGCGACATACACTTTTTCACACTTGTCACAAGAAAAAATTTTTAAGGCGTTTAACTGACACAACACTATTAATTTTACTCGAGTAATAATCCTTCTTTTATGCGGAAAAATCACATATTTTCATAGGGGGGTCATCGAATCATAGGACACATATCCCCGTATACTAACTCTTTGCTTCATCACTTAAGTAATTTCACTTTAATATCATAATAATTAATTTTAAACTCTCGATTTCTAAATATTTGTATACAAATATATGTAATAGATTATGTGTATACATGTTTTATACAAAAACGATTACACATTAATGTCTATTAACAAACGCGGTAGTGTGACTGAATAATCAAAAAAGAATTTGATAAAATATTATTTCAAACGTATAAATATTTTCTATAAAATTAAAAAAAAATAACTCAATTCTTATGAAATAGTATAATATTGTACATATTTATTTATTTACTTTAATATCATAATAATGATCACCTTATGATGAGTTTCATCATCACCTCCCCTTCTATGTAGGGGTAAACCGCTGATTTACTGTTTTAATACATACGTTAATCAAGTAAGAGGGCTCTCTATGACCCTATGGCTCTCTAGTAGGGTTTCGTGGGATTAATAGCCGCCGTCGCCGCTTGATTACACCTTTCACTTTTTGCATTCAAATATTTTCATATAATTCTAAAATTATGTAATTTTTAAAATACCTCTAATTTTCTGTAATATATCAAGATATACTATATGATGTTCCTTCTACCTAGGTATACTATGCATATACCATGGTAACATATACCATGGTATAACGAAATGCTACCTAGGAACGAGAAACATCGACCTTTCCCCATATCCCCCCGGCCGTTTACACCGCCCGTCCACCTAGGACTGGGTAAACACACATCATATGGGTGGGTGAGGGGACTATGCCTTTCATCATATCCCCCCGGCCGTTTACACAGACCGTTCACCAAGGGAGAGGAAACGGCCGGGGCCGTTTTGGGGGGTATGGCAATCATACTTTATAGTTCTACTTATATATGTAAAAGAATACATTTAAAACCATAAAAAAACTTTATTTTATCAAATATTATAAATTATAAAATAAATCATAGAATTAAAAATTTCGTAATACTTATGACTAAAGATATACAATAATTTATTTTATCGGCTACTGATGGAAACTCATATTTTGGTTGACTAATATTTATTGTTACATTGTTAGAGCATAAGCATAAACGGCGTTAACTAGTTCCTTCATTTTCAATTTCTTTTAGGACAACCCTATCGGAAGATTTTTACATAAGTAATTTTTTATGGTGAAACTAAATATAATTTACTTAGCAATATTCAAACATTTAATCAAATTTAATTGAATATTTTGGTTTACTTGTAGCGGTATTATCAACATTCTTAATCAATGATAATCTCTTATGATTACAATGAGTACCAACTACTATTTAGCAACCTGGTTACAATGTTTCCAGGCTACTTATGTTAAATATCTCTTAACTGTGATATTTGAAATGTCAATAAAAATATTTTAGCTTACATATTGTGGGTATAATACGCACAATAAGTAAGCAAAATTTATTATGAAAAATTAAACCAGACGTTATGTATAACGACCCTTTAAGTCAACCACTATAAGGTGACTTTTGTTAAACTTCATATGTACAAAATAGAATCCTTTTAGGGATACTTTTAGTGTCGCATTATATAACTATGAGGCGATAACTACACGCAACATCATTGTTTATTAGATTTAACAATAATTATAAAATAAATAATATTCTATAATACAGTAAAAGTTTGTTGTACGAGTTGTAGCGTTACGCTACTGCTTTATCATTGGTTGACAGTTGCAAGAAAGTCCGCTGGACAGCGCTGTTCGACAACCCTTATTCAAAAAATGTAAATTAAAGTATTTATCTATTATTTTTTTTTATTATTTTTTATTATATTTATTGTAATTATATAATTAATTAAAANTAATGATTATTTTATATACCAGTCTTAGCGAGAACTCGAAAATAGGAAATTAGAATATTCTTTTGTTTTTGGAAGGTTTTAAAAATAAATAATATGTGGGCAATTGTTCTACACTACTCCGGTGGTGACGGGTAGCATAAAGTACACCGTCACTACTCGTATAAATTGTTCATTTCTCTCTACAAATTCTAGAAGTATTACATTAGTATTTCTTTACTTTTTACTAGTGATCTCAATATTTATTGCCAACTAGTCTCCTTTCATTCAGCCTTCCATCGAGTAAGTGTTCTTTATTTATTCCTTTTACTTAATTCTTATTACATATATGCTTTTCAACGGTGTTTGTAACTATTCGTTACCAAACGTGATCAAAATNTTATATTTATTGTAATTATATAATTAATTAAAATATATAATTCTTTTCTTTAAAGGCTAGTCATAATCTTCAACGGTGATTAATAACCATCGTGTTATCAACCGTGATCAAGATTGCTAGTTTTTTCTTAAGCTTTCCTCCTTAATCCTTTTGCAACGGTGCTTGTAATAAACGCTTTACCAACCGTGATCCAAAAGGGTTGGATTTCACCACTTACATAAGATAACTATCTTTTTGTAAAACTCCTCTTAACCTTCTGCAACGGTGTTTATAACCATTCGTTATCAACCGTGATCCAGAGGGTTATATCCCTACCTCACCACAAAGTAAATAGTTTCTAAAATAAGACTGATATAGTAGTTAGTTAATTAATATATGTATATATTCACCTTTATATAAAAATAAATCAGAATAAATCGATTAGTCGAACAATTTGTGTTGTGTTTTCATATTTAAAGAGAACAAACGTAGAAACGTTTCAGTATGTTGACATCGCGCAACTAGTAGTAACTAAAGTTGAGAGTTAAATTATATTTAAAAGATTTGCAATAAAAAAAAATACTTAGAGAATATTATATTTTTGTTACTAATCCAGAATCTTCAATTTTACTTAATAATTGTTATATTTTTAATCAATAGTTAATAGTAAGGTCACCTAATCACTTATTACAATAATTAAAATATATAAAACTTAGGTCCCTTTTTAATTTTGATTCTGTCCTCTATAAGGCTTTCAAAATCCGTATAGATTTAACATAAATAATCGTCCAANAAATCCATGTAGATTTAACATAAATAATCGTCCAGAATCTTGAATTGTACTTGTATACAGTTGCCAAATAACTGCCAATGTATTTGATGAGTGTAAATGTTGCAAACGTTAAATTTGGAAAAATAGTAAGATATTTTAATTTAATTAATATTACAAAAAAAACTAGTGGTATTCAAACCGAATGAAACATCCTACGTTTAAAAATCAACCATAAAATTGTAAAAAATAAGTTGAATTTTTTAATTGAAAACGGTTTTATAATTGAACAAGTATAATCAGATATTGCACCAAATTTGTTTAATAACGATGCAAAATATGGTTTGCTTGACAATGATTTAGTTCCAATTTGAAAAAAGAGTTCAGGTACCATTACACAATTGAAAGTTTGATTTAAGTTCAACCCTAAATGCAACATTAAAATAACTTTAAGACATACTCAGGCATAATGGAGTTGCTTGAGGTAATTTTGTAGTAATGAATTATTATCGATAGCTAGTTAAATATTCACAATGTGACTATTTACTATTGTAATATTCTATTTTATATTTTGCGTACACGTATTGTTAATATGTAATATATCCGTTCAATTAAAATTAAGATTTTGGTAGAATAATATAATCTTAAATAAAATTAAAAATTTTAATGATGATTAATTTATTTTTATTTTTATTTCACAGAACAATTAACCATTAAAAATCAACTGGATTTCCTTCAAAACTAATATGTGCATTTAAAAATCTCTAGTACACTTAATGAGAATTTATATCTTGCGATTAATAGGTTCACATATAAAATTATGAGAATTTGTTTCCATAATAATTTTTTGTTGTAAAATATTTGCCCAATTTTATTCACGTATGTAAGATTTTATATTATATAAACTAATAACAGTTTTATAAATAGTTATATAATTTTAACTGTAAGACTTATTTTTTTAATACATAATAGGAAATTTTATTTTGTTTTTTCTTAAATAGAAGATTTAGTACTTTAATTAAAAATAAAATAATTGCTAAAGTATATTAAATAAAGAAAATATTGTATGCGTTTAATTATGATCAATCATAGTTAATTACAATTAAGTGAAGTTATTTAATTTATTTTTACACTATATATATTCAGATTAATACCATGAGAAAATATTAAAATTACCATATTTTTCATTTTTGTAAGTATAGTATATTCGATGCATTTAATTTTATTGATTAAAATTTAGTACTTGAATTGAGCGGGAACGCATAAGAATGGAGCTCCTCTTCTAAAATAAAAAAATACGTTAATTAAATAATACTTAGTAAATGAAATGACTATAATTGTTTTTTAGATGTTATATAATTTAAAGTAAAAATTTTTAATTTAATATGATATACTAGATAAAATATTCATACTTTGGGTATTTTTTTTATGAAATTTAATAAAAAACCTAAATACAGGAAGGGTTTGAAAATAAAACAAGCCACGTATGTTTAAATTATTTTTATCCTACACAATTTTTGAAAATATCCAGAAACGACTGACATACATTAAACTTATATAAAATTAAATATTTTGAAATATACTGTAAGATTAATAAAAATTCGTCCCGGCGATATTCAATCATGAGAAATTAGCCGTCAGAGTAAAAAAATTCACAATTTTTTTAAATAAAAACACTTTATTTAAAGTATTTTTTTTTTAATTAAACATCTCCACAAATAATAGTGGTAGAGAACTAATTTATATACTAAAACACGCTAAAAATTGTTTAACAGTTAAAATATAGTTTTATGACAGTTTAAAAATTTTAATTTTAATAAGATCTTAAAAAACTCAAAAGGATCAAAAATTAGGTTAAATATGATATTTTAAATCTAAATTTCGCGTAGATTATTTTTAACAAATTAAAAATCAAAATGTTTTATACTTTGAACACATAATTTTTTTTTTGTTTATATATAATTTCTTTATATGAAAAAACTCGTTTTTAACGAATGAGTAAATATCTCAAAAATTAGAGCCGATAAAAAATGTCTAATAGTAGATTTGAAAAAAATTTGATTAGAAAATTATATTTATCTCTGATAAAAATGTCTTTTGAATAAATACACTGGATATTTATTCAAAATTAACAACAAATTATTTTCTGAATAGTTGTAGTTATCTGGTAATTGCATCAATCTCTTCAATTTTGATACACGTTTGACACAGGTTAACGAAATATAAAACTATTTATATTATTTTTATCATTACACATTACTTTGCCACGCTCTTCCGCCACTTTATGTATAAATATGTTAATAACTTCTGAAATACTATTTCAAAAGTTGTTATCAATAAATTTTTTAATTTATAAAATAAAAAATTATTGGTAGTAATTTATAAAAGACAAGAAGATAAACAAAATATTATTAACCTATCTATGTATCATAGTCTTATTATGATAAATTTATTTTTTTTATTGCTATAAAGATTAGGGGCATCACCTATACCCATGAAGGTATTACGAACACAAAACTGGACGGGTGGTTAGACTTTTGCCGAAGAGGATTGGATTAAGGTACTTTTTACACGCGAGGGAAACATGATAATATATCCTTTCCATAGGAAGGCTAAGTCATACAATGCATTATATGACTGCCAGGGCAGTTGCTCCCCGCCTATCAGGTCAATCACCATTGTCTGGTGTTCAAATTTAATGGAAATTTCTAATATTTTCAAATTTTATTACACAGTAATTAGTAGGTATACAGAGTGGAACACATCTATCTGACAACTCATATAACTTATGTTCTTCATAAATTTTTATAATTTTATTTTTTTTAATAAATTTTTACAATATAGAACTATATTTAAAATATGTTTTATGATATTTTTCGCAATTACAAAAAATATTTTAAAAATTAATTTTTTTTAAAGATTTGAAGATTGCCATTTTATAGATAAATTTTAAAGGAAAATTTTGATACCAATAACTCTTANTTTTTTTTTTAAGATTTGAAGATTTTATAGATAAATTTTATAGGTAAATTTTGATACCAATAACTCTTAATTTAATTCAGTAGTTACGTTCATACAGCAATTTGAAGTTTGTTAAATTTTAATTTTTTATACAATTTTCCTATGGTATCCAATGTTAGTCCATATTATGTTAAGTACAGAAGTAAATACTTATTACATTATTTACTGGTAACAGTACGCGATTTCTTTTCCATGAAAATTATTAACTTTTGAATAAGCATTTGTAATTGACATGAAAAAAAAAACTAGTAGTATAATTAAGATTATTAAAAAAAATCATAGAAACATTGTCTAAACTATGTTGAATTTTTAATTAAAAAAGTTCGTATATCATAAATTGAAATGTGAATAATAGTGAATAAGTGCATTTATTATCAAATCTCCTAACAAGGAATATCCTATAATAATATGATTACAATAATAGAATCACGCAAATTAATAATTGTTATCACTTCTAACTTGACTAATCATGGAACACTCGTAGTTGACATACGATAATGTTTCTAACTTTTGTAATAAAGATTAGAGATAATAATTTCTGTATAAAGCACGTTAAACGTTATTATTATCCATGGGAAAGAAATCGCGTACTGTTACCAGTAAATAATGTAATAAGTGTTTACTTAAAGTACTTCTGTACTTTACATAATATGCACTAAAATTTGATACCATAAGAAAATTGTATAAAAAAAATCAAAATTTAACAAATTTCAAAATGCTGTATAAACGTAACTACTGAATTAAAATAAGAGTTTTTGGTATCAAAATTTTTCTTTAAAACTTATCTATAAAATGGCAATCTTCAAATCTTTAAAAAAATTTTAATAAAAAAATTAATTTTTAAAATATTTTTTGTAATTGCGAAAAATAACATAAAACATATTTTAAATATAGTTCTATATTGTAAAAATTGATTAAAAAAAAAAAAGTATAAAATATTATGTAGATCATAAGTTATACGAATTGTCAGTTAGATCCGTTTAGTATTTGAAGAAAAAACTATTTTGAGTAAATAAAAATGATTTATAAAATTTGTACTTATGAAAACTATTTTTTGTAAAAAAAAACCTTAAAGTTTTTTTTACACCATTATGTATTTTTTTTTAATTTTTAAATACTTTTGAACATTTTTGTAAAACTGGCTAACCACAGTAGTTTACTGATTACTCTCTCTTATTGAGAGCACAATTTTTCCTTTTCTTCCTAGACGCAGTCATTTAAAATAGTAATTGTGCCTTTATTTGGAAAACTATATTTCTTTTTTTGCCATTTTGCATCATATTAAATGTCATATATTTTATTTTGAGAAGGTTGATGGTCATTAGAATTAATTATCGTTCTTAGATGTCATTATGTTCCATATTTTAACATGTTTTGACTACTTAAAATTATATTCAATTGATATATTTTTCGTACAACTTAAATATTACATATTAGTATATATTTGTGTCATAGTCACATTTACAGTTCATTTTATGAAAGTCAGGTGGTTCCAATTATCGTAGTTATAGTGTGGCGTATTTGCATTTAATAGAATTGAAAGTTTTTTAAATTGTTGATAATAATTGTCTATATTGCAATAGGGAAATAGAGCAATAAGGCAATATTCCCATGATAGTTCACTGTTCTTGAAAATTGTTTCAATTCTTAGTGAATTATTATAATGATGATCTTTTTTTTTTGTTCATCAACTTTTCCTTTTTAACCAACTATATAAAATATTTATTAGAAAAGTAATACCTTTCTAGGCTCATTCCAGAACAATTATTTATAGTAATAAAATCTAGTATCTCATAAACTAATTCAATTTATTATCAAACAGCTTTAACAATAATTTATATATTTTAATTAATTAGTTTAACCATAGACAAAAAACCCAGCACAGGGGGTCACGGCACAGTGGTGATGTCTCAAAGTTGGATCAAGTATAATGATATCTGACAGTGATTAAAATCACTATAACAAAAAAAACGCTTCAATTCAAATCTTTAGATAGTGATTAATTTTAAAAAATTGGTGGATTATTCCAAAAGCAACATGATCTGTAATTTCCTTATTAATATTCTAAATGAAAAAGGTATTATTATTTCTCATAAAAAAATTGTGTTGATCTATACACTTTTTAATAAGTTATAGCATTATAAAGTTAAAAATATAAAAAAATAAAATCGAGAATTTTCACACAAAGACAAGTCCAGAGGTCAAATTTTTTTTTTCATAATTAAGTATATTACATTATCTTTAATTTAAGATATATATAAAAGTGTCAGACTTTCCGGAACACTTTCAAAAGTGAAGTTGAAAAAGTTCTACTTACTTTATGCATTTTTCAGATTTGAACACCCCCCATATATAAGGAAATAGTCTGATTTAAAAAAAAAATATGTCGAATCAAAGATGTATATAAATATTAATTCTCATGAAAAATTGTATTGATCCATACATTTTTTAAAAAGTTAATAATGTACTTAAATAAAGTACATTAAAGTAGCTTTAATTTAAGATATATAGAAAAGTGTCAGACCTTCCATAACATTTTTCAAAAGTTAATTTTTTGTGAAAAAGTTGTCAATTTAAATCCCCCCTGTGGGCTGATAAAGGGTTAAATTTATAAAAAAAAATATACCAAATGATAGGTAAAGATATCAAGCATCTATAAAAAAAAATTATATTGATATGTTCAGTTTTGAAAAAGTTACGTCAGTTTTTAGTAAAAAAATTGAAAAAATTTCGAAAATTAGCGATTTTTAAATTTGTAATTTTTTTGGAGGATTCTCCCATTTACGAGAACGAGGGAGATTTTTTCAATTTTTGAAGGTAATATCTTCGACTAGGTACGATTTGTGATCTTTTGATGTATCGTTGAAAGAAATCCGTTCGGCAATAGCTGAGAAAAAGTGGTAACAGACACAAAAAAAACACATCATACTAAAATTAATACCTTATCAGCTTCGCCTCGGAGCTTATATTCTAAGTACTGCCATTTCTTCTTCCAATATCCTTAATCCTAGTTTATCAAGTATTATGTAATATAATTCCACAGACATAATTCTGAATTCTAAGATAAAATAAACAAAAATATTATTAATTGATTAAAAGTAACTAGATGTGAGTTTTTTATTTAATACTGGAATAATTCACCTTTATAAATTAATAAAATAATTTTTTATCAACTATAACTTTTTCGATAATCCCTATAATTTAAAACGATTATCGATAAAAATAAAAATAAGTGTATTTATCGGAAATTTTTATTTTTTTTTGAAACACATTTATTATAAATGTGTTTAAANTAATACAAATAATTTTATTAATTAAATATTAATTTTATAATATCAAGTAATATTATAAATTCTTATTACAAATTAGGGGGTAATATTTTCAAGTCATCATAGTGAAATTAAATAACATTTGTTGGTTAATTGGAATCTATTACTAATGGTTACATTTGGTTGACTATAAAAAAATTCAGTAAATTAAGATACCATTCGCCATCGCAACGACAGATGAACCATCAATCTTGGAGTTATGAAAATTTTTTGAAATATATCACATAGGGCTTAAATGGGTAGTATAAAGTCTAAAATTCTAAAAAATTATACGTAATATTTATTTTACCTGGAAAGCTGATATTTTGTGCGTCTGTACAATTTTCAGTTATTATATTAGTAACCATATCATCCGTTAAATTGTAATCAAATCCTTTTACAAATTCCTCAAATTCTTTTTTAGTCATCTTTCCATCTCGGTCGTGATATTCATCATAAGTAGTATTTACTTTTTCTTCAGTTATTATTACAATTTTTGTCATGACTTTTATAAATTGCTCCAAATTCATAAATTCGTCTCCTTTGAAGTAAAATTTATGTGTTATCAATTCATTTTTATTTAAAAGTAAAATGGTATTTTCAATAATTTTATTAGTAATAATCACTGACCGACATTTAAATAACACTTAATTTAATTAATTTAAAATAATATTATAAATAATAATTTATCCCAGAAATAGTTTTTTATATTACTTGAAAATCTAATAATACTTTCTAAGACGTTTAAATTACTATATTGATTAAATTTTAATACGAATATTAGTTTAATGTATTTTTATCAATGCATTTCGACTAAATACGACAATAAAGAGATAATTTAAGTCATCTCGTTATTATTACCGCAGATGCAATCACGTTTTTAAAACGATAAAAATAAAAAACGTGATGCAAACCATCAGTTTTTTTCATAGGCTCAAATATAGAGTGTTTTAGATTCCATGAAATCTCATAAATAACACTCCAAAAAATATCGAACATTAAATTTGGTTAAATAAAAATATTTATATTAAGGTGGAAAATGATAATAAGCACTTGAATATATAACTACTTAACACAACGTTTGACATTATATCTCTTTCAAAAAATTAGCTTACTCTATAAAGTAAAACTATTATTTGGAATAATTACAATTGTTAAGGTTCCAAATATTTTATAATTTTTTGAATTTTATGAGATCATTTTTGAGAACAGATAGTCCTCAATTATAACATTTGTCAACCAAAGTATTTTTGTTCTAACTATTGTAAAAATAATCTTTATGAATATGTAGCCAATCCAATGATATTTAAACGTAATTACTTAAAATCAAAATCTGTCTGATTTATATTAATTAATTATTTTGTTAATTAATTAAATTGTATGGTAACACCTTAAATATTATTGGTTGGTAGCTTACAATTTTTGAAATAAAACTAAAACACTATATTTTTTTAATAATGTAGACTGTATTCTTATGATTTATAAATTGCACATTTTAGGAATAAAAACCTTATGTACGGCGAACTTACCATTCGACATTCAGCTTACGACTAACTTACAACAAAAATAACTAAGTCTACTCGATAACCATGTAAATTCTGTTTACTTCAATATCAACCAGTTATTGGTAAAACATAAGTTTTATAAACTCACATTAATTTACATATAATATGCACAAGAAAAATGTTTCAAATTTGTCTGTTGAATATCTCAAAGAAAAAATTAATTAAAAATACCACCCTTAAATTAAAAATAGATAGATAAGTGAACATTCTAATCCAGATATTACTTTTAAGAAAAAAATTAAGGTTTCAAAATGACATCCATTAATTTAAGTTGGTTTTATCGGACTAACTTCAAGGCATGTTCGTAAATGTCTAAAAAATTTTGTTAGTATATTTTTTTATATCATTCAAAATACATGAAGAATATTCTTTGGATCTGGCCATTTTCGGGTAGAATATATTTCTACATATCTCTATAAAAGAAGATTTTGAGGCTAGTGGTAAATTATTGAATTTTACAATAACATGAAATGATACGACAGCAAAATGTTATTTGAAATGCAACCACTAATAAAAGTAAGTTTTCAATAACAGAATATAAGAGATCCTCATTTAAAATAAGTTGCCATGAATTTTGTTTTATATATGCTCACAGGGGGATTCAAAATGATAATTTTTCCACAAAAAATTAATATTTTCAAATTATGTTTTGGAAATGTTCCGGATACACTGACACTTTTAGACAAATCTTAAATTAATGGTTATGTAACATACTTTAATATGAATAAAAATTTTTTGAATTTGTATTTGCTTATTATGATCAATATAATTTTTAGCCTTTGAGGGCAAACATTTCGGTGTTGATCGGGAACGTCCTCATATTTTAAGAACTATAGTCCCCCTTTCTAGTTTTTTCCACTTTAACCACCGTCTCAAACCAAAATATAATTGTACCTATTACCTTGATGGATACAACTAAAAGATATGCAAATATATTAAATTTATCTGTTATAATTATACTTGTTGTAAATAAAATTTAACTTTATTATTAGTATTAGAATTTTACTTACTATTTTGAACTTCATCCTTGAATATTGTTTCGATTCTACTATTATCCAATTTGTGTACCGGATAAAATAATTTAAATAAGTTTTTAAAACTATCTAAACTGATACCATTATTATTATCTTTATAACTATTAAAATATTTGGTCGAATCAAGCCATGCTTGATTATTCAATTTCGTCTTCTAAAATAAATAATTGAATTATATAAATTTAGAATTAATAATAATATGAATTAAAATTTTTAGATAAAACAGTTTTAAACACTGGTTAAAATCATTTTCATAAAAAACGCATCGATGCAAATTGTCGATAGTACTTATTTTTTATACGGAATTGTTGGATTATTCCAAATGCAAATCAACTCTTATTTCTTTAAGTATATCCTGATGAAAACTTTTATGATTTATAGGAAAATTACATAAATAAATTAATAGTATTGTAATTAAATATAGTATGATATTGATATTCAATAATTTAATATTGTAATTTGTATAGAAAAATATATAAAAAAATAAGAAAAGAAAATATTTATAATTAACACTTAATGCATATACAGGGTGGCCCACCACTCACTGACAACTTAAATAACTTTTGATCCAGTTAATATTTTTAGCTGATTTTTTTTTTAAATAATAGTTATACGTTAGGTCTATAGCTATATCTCAATAATTCATTTTTTTACATTTTATTAAAAATATTAATTATTTTTAAATTTTAAATAAAATGTAAAAAAAAAATCTAAGATAGCTATTTTGTAGAGTAGAATTTAAGAAAAATTTTAGTAAAAAAATATCTTATTAATATTCAGTAGTAAATATTCTGTAGCGTTTTGAAGTTTGT